CAACGTTAGACCGAGTCTCTGTGGATTCAACCCAACTTACACTACTACAATTTTGGTTGTAACTAGTCATTAGTTGGAATTTATTATTTGGTAGACTCGACATCCGTCAGTGATCGGAATGGTCAAAGGGAGTGTTTCTAGCGATGGATGTCGGTGGGGATGGTGATAATGCTTCCAATCCCGATCACTTATTTATATAAACCGTTATGTAATAAGACAAAATAGATCGTCAAATCATAAGCCACTAAATGACGAAATAGCGGACAAAGTATGTGGTTATAAAAATATGACATTTTTCAGATATAATATCTGATTTTGTCTCCCAAATCTAATACAAATTTTTTTTTGTATCAACAATTATTAAAAAAAATATTAACATTCACTGGTTATAAAAAATATAATTCTTATAAGAAATAATAAAAACATTCGTTAGTAAATTTATACCTTTAAAAAAATAGCAAAAATTATAAATCTTCACGTAAGTACATATGGTGTTAATGGTTGTCATGGTAGATTGTGTTTACAAGTTACAAATTGTGAGAGTAGAATTGTTTGATTTTATAGAATAAAGCCAAAACATTTGGTCCTTAAACAGTTAAAAAAAACCAATCAAAATCGCCATCTGTTTATTAAAAACACTCCTTAATTGTCAAATCAATTTATATACTAAAAAACGAAATGGTAGTCAATATAGGTGGTTAGATCGCCCCCGAAGAAAGATCCAAGGTTAGGCGGAAGTGATCGCTCTTCTCAAGGCAAATCAGTGTTTGTCTTCTAAATCGATTACATGTATACCCACAAATCAATTTAAAATGATTTTTTTGATATTTTTTTGGTTAAACATGGCGTGTATTGCCCTCCATGGTCAAACATGAGTAATGAGATGTTTTTTAGTTATTTTCATTAAAATATCTACTAGTTTTTGATATCGTGCGTTGCGTGATGATAATATATTTTTTTTAAATTATTGAAGTTAGTTAAATGAATCGATAATCATATTTATATATAAAACTAATAAAAATTAATATTACCTTTGATATATGAATCCACCTTATCATTATTGGTTGTTTTTTTTAATATATATATATATATATATATATATATATATATATTAAGTTTTATATATCAATTTTTTATCATATCAAACTTTGTAATTGGTCCAAAATCATAAAAAAAAAATGTGAAAAAAATGATTATAATCTTGAGGTGTATTATGAGAATTGTTTTATCATAATGCATATCAATTTATCTCCTACATATATTCTCATAAAATATTTATATTCACTAAGCAAATATTGTGTTGTATCCTATTTTAATATAATTATTGAATATTTTTGCAATTTGCTTATATTAGTTCATGATATACTCATGTAATCTTTCATGGGCCAAAAACCTTCTTGAAATCCATTTTTTTCTACATGCGATTGCACAAAGTGGGACAATAATAGTATTATGATCATTCCAGATACATAAGAGTTTGATTGATTTGTTATTTTTTCATTTGACTTGTCAAAAAATTTAGATTTGTTTTAGACAATTCATAGTTTGTTTTCTCTGTAAAAAAATCCTGAAAAATGAGGTTTTTAATAAAACCATGTAAAATAAAAGATATGTATTATATTGATTATATTGTTAATTATATATAGAGTTTAA